TGGTGTTAATAAATATGTGTTTCCTCCAAGAAGTACGTCTGCGAGTCAGTTGAATCCATTACACATTTAATGAGTGAGTTCAATGTTCAATTAGCTAACGACTAATATTTTTATATGTAACAGTTAAAAATATCAGCTCGAGTTCTGACTTTATGAGCCAGGGTCTACAGTAATCCCCTGCTAACCGCGAATGTTTGGTTCCTGAAAGCCCTCGCGGTTGGTAAAGTGCAGTGGCCTGTGGGAAATAGGGGGTTAGGGGAACCATGGCCCCGGTCAGAACCGTCATAGCTTCGCTAAGTTTCCTGTTTATCCACGAAACACCGAATCGAATACAGTACATTACACAATGGCATATATAAAGCATTAGATTAACTTACAAACCGACACACCTGATGACGACCGTTTGTGTTATGGTCGAAACGTCGTGAGAATTTTTATTGTTTTATATATATTTTATTCTTTTATTGTTTCCCTTCAACGTGACTTTACCGAAAGAGCTAAGAATATAACTTACATACCTTTAATATTAACGGTTTAGATGACGATGACAATGAGATGATGGGGGAAGGCATGGTTAGAAGGAGGAAGGGGGGTGGGGCTAAGCCCACCCTCTAAGTACTCCAGCCTCCTATATACAAAGTTCTCGATAAGAAATTAGCCAAACAACACAATCAGCATCTAACTGAAAGGAGCCTTGAGGCTCACGAATGATTTCCTGTAAAACATACGTCGCAAGTGTATTTATCTTTTGTGTTAAATTGTCAGGTTATTGTATTGCCTAAGAGTTGAATCCCAGATCGCAAGTTAAAATCACGAACATTACCACCCCCCCCCCCCATCTCAAGGTGCCAGTGTAAACGAGAGTTTTTGATTACTACGATGTGATTGCAGAAAAAATGCGATGTTTAAAAATAACACAGATTAGATACAATTTGTTTGAGTCTTTGCTTTTATTTGTCCTTTTCATTTGCGATATTTTCAATCTCTTTGAAAATAAAATTTTAAATGTCGTCCTATATTGACGAATTGGCAGTAAATTAATAATACTTCTAGATTAGATGTTCAACTTTGGTGGAAAATACGAAGTTCACGTTCAGTTATTCTAAATTTCAGCTGCCGTTCTTGTAATTACAAAATGTGTACCACTCGAGCTATGACAGATTGTAATGTAATTTGTCAAAGAATCTGCCGAATAAAGAGGCTCCAAAATATGTTACCGCTTAAAAGATGTCAACAATAATTCACGTTAACATTTTCTACCAACCGACACCCAGTGCACAGGAGGGAGTTGATCCGTGTTTTACAACTCTTGCAGCATTCTGAACACATTGTAGCCACTCCCCTTTTAATTTAGTTTGGTTTAGATACCAGGGGTCGGCTCAGCCCATCATCCTTTCTGGGATTGTTAAATTTGCAACACTTTGTGTACAGTCAACAGTTGAACTCCCATTGCTGCCATGGCTCCCCCATGGCAGCAATGTGGTGAGAGGCCATGGGCGGATGTGGGGATATTCACAAGCCCCCTGCTGGGTGCTATTCAGTTGGAGTTTGTACCATTGGATGAGAGGGTAGCCTCATTGAGACATCGGGTCTCAAAAAGGAAAACTCTGACTGTTGTCTGTGCTCATGCACTAAAAAGCAGTTCAGAGTATTCGGCCTTCTTGGAGATGGAGGATGCAGTGCTCGATACGGTGATGCCTACCGACTCCATAGTCTTAATGGGCGACTTCAATGTTCACGTGGGAAACAATGGAAATACCTGAAGAGTCGTGATTGGGAGGAATACCCCCCTGATCTGAACCCGAACGGTGAAATATTATTGGAATTCTGCATTAGTCACAGAATGTCAATAACAAACACCATTTTTGAACACAACGATGCTCATAAGTATATTTGGTACCAGAGCACCTTGGGCCTAACGTCAATAATTGACATTATTGCTGCATCATAGGACCTAAGGGCATATGTTTTGGACACTCAGGTAAAGAGAAGGGCGGAGCTGTCAAGTGATCACCACCCGTGGTAAGTTGGATCCGACACTTGGGGCACCGACCAGATACATGTGGAAGGCCCAAACAAATAGTGCAGGTATTCTGGGAGCGTCTGGTGGAAGACACAATGCAAAAAGATTTCAACTTTGACCTCCAAGAAAACTTCTTCCACACTCCAGGAGGAGGAGGAGGAGGCTGCGTTCCCTACGCTGCGAGATCGCGTTTCCCTGCCGTCCATATTGGACACTGATGCAAGTGACATGGGCATAGGGGCTGTCCTGTCCCAGGTGAAGAACGGGGTGGAAAGGGTGATCGCATACGGGAGTCGCATCCTTTCAACCACCGAGCAGTGGTACTGTATCACCCGCAGGGAACTGTTGGCCATGGTGTACTTTGTCCAACAGTACAGGGCTTATCTTTATGGCAGACAGTTTGTAGTCTGCATGGACCACGTGGCACCCGAGTACTCTCTGAGAGTGGACCAGACTTCCGGCCAGCTCTTACGCTAGTTGGTAATACTCCAGGAGTATTTATTTCGAGTGGTTCACTGCAGGGGTGTGGGGCACTGCTATGCCGATGCATCATACCGCTTGCCGCTGAAGAGATGCTGCGCATGCTCGTCGGGCGTGGGCCAGTGTAAACAGCCTAGGGCTGGGCCACCGGGGGTCGTAGTGGCTTTGAGTGACCCACCACCAGCCGTGGTGGTCGCACATAGAGATGACACGTTGGGGCTCACGCATGCCGAATGAGGCCAGCTACAGATGGAGGATGTCTCCCTGTTGAACTTGCGGCGCTGGACAGAAACTGACCAAGAGAACCCCGGGCCTAAGGGAGTCTCGCAGTTCGTCCTTCAGGAAGGTCTGCTGATGAGGTGGCAGGAGGCATTGCACCGTCTGGGTGTTGTGGTCCCCACCTCCCTTCGAGGTAGATTAACGCGGGCAGTGCATGGAAATCAGTTGATGCACCTCGGGCATTTGAAAACTTTTTTTAAAAAGCAATGAGACTTTTATTGGCCGGGAATGTCAAACGATGTCTTCCATTTGATCAATGATCGCACATATGCGTGCGCCACAAGCTGCCATCGCAAAAATCTCAACCTCTGCTACAGTCCATCACGGTGTCCCACATTAACAAATTGGTTGCACTTGACATCCTGAGACCCTGTCCGGCTACACAAAAGGGGAATACACTTCTCCTAGTCAGGGTTAAGTATTTTTTCCAGTGTCCAATGGCTTGGCCATTGCCCAACCAAACGGCTGCATCCATAGCCGATACATTTTTGCACATCTATGTGATGGATAAGGGGGACTCCGAGCAGCTTCTCACGAATCAAGGTCGAAATTTATCGTCCAAGCTGCTGCGTAAAGTGTGCGACGTGCCGGGCACAAAAAAGATGAGAACGTCGCAATACCATCTCCAAATGGATGATGTGGTGGAACGCTTACACAGAACCCTGACATCGATGCTCTGTCAGGCAGTTAATGAGGCACAGACAGATTGGGATTTGCACATTCTGGGAGTCTTGGCAGCGTACAGGATGGCTACCCATGCTTCTACAAGATTTTCCCCAATTTTACCCATGTATGGGCGGGAAAATGACCCCCTCATTGACGCACAATTGGGTATGGCCTCGGGGAGGAAGAGAGCAGCCATGCCCATTCCCTGCCAGGTCATTCTTCATTGTGTCTCTGAAGTTCGCGAAGCGGCCAGAGAAAACACTGCCAAGATGCAAGCTTCTAACGGCATGAGCACGTGCTTCCATGGACAGTCGGGGACAGGGCCTAGTTTTACTGCCCTCAGCTGCTGCTGGGTACGTCTCACAAGTTACATCAGCCATGGTAAGGTCCCGTCGAGGTGGAGGAAGAGAGGAGGCTTCAGTGTGTAAGAATTCAGGTGGGATGCCGCCGTTGGTTCGTTCACCCATCGCGCCTGAAACCATATGTTTAGCCCTCTGTTGACAGCTCACCCCCAAGCCCTTTTGCGCCGATGTCTGGTGTGTTAATGAGCCGGGGCAATCGGCCAAGGAAATTGTGCCTCAGGAAAAATGTGTTGTTCCGCCCAGAGTTTCGAAGTCCCTGAAGCCCGGGGAACCTCAAGAAGCCCCCACATGTGATGGACCGCTGGCTGGAGCCCGGTCAAATTCTTCAGAAGAGGCCAGGGATGAGCCTATCCAATCAAGGCTTTTGTGCAAGCCCCCATTGCCTTTAGAGGCACAGAAATCCGCCCAGAGCGATGGACCGGCGTCAAGGACCCGGTCAAAGTCTTTACGATTCCCTGGTGCCAAAGAGGTTGGAGACCGCTGGGCTAGAGGATTCGAGAAAGAGGGCGTTGCTGGCACCGAATAGAGGGCCACGCCGGGAATAAAAGGATGCGAGACGCAAGGTTTAGGGCTGCCATAGGATCGGGTCGACTGTCTTCACGCTGTCGCTGTCTACGGGCCATCGTTGTCTTCGCATCACCGCTACTTCCGTGCCATCCCTGGTCCAAGTGATCTGTGCATTATCCCTCTCCAATTTCAAGTTACCTGCGTGAAGCGACCTAAATAATAACTAAAGAAACCTCTACAGTTCCAGTTGTCCGAGTCATTACACTTATCATGAACTTCACTAGTATCACATGACGTTATGATCCCTCTATAAATTCTAACCAGCCAAAGGTCTCGTGATGTCATGATCTTCATTCGGTCCCTCGTCATCACATGACATCATCACCCTGCCTTCTCACATCCTCACCCCATCCTGGCGTGACATTGATACGCCTCTCAACACTCCTGAATCTTTGAAGCCATCAACCCCTTCACCTCACCCAAAACTCGCGTGATGTCATCCCGATGCATTAAAGTCAGGCACACACCTGAAAAAGCGTATTCTTATATAGATTACTCAAGTGTGATTCTATATTTTAGTGACATCTTTATGTGTCCTAGCAATGCAGATGAACGCCAAAATAATAATTTGAGAATCCTGTAATTATGTGTATGGTTAATGTGGTATAACTTCCACCAGTCAATTCAACAAACCAGGTACTTTATTTGTTCTCCAAATTGCATTTACACCAAGCCAAAATCGCATCGCCCTGAATCAGCTGTCGTCCCACAATAACACATGATGTTCCATTCCCTACTAAACTATGACAATGGATGAAATTGAACTCATGCTGCCTCGGCCTCATCCTAATATTTCAGATTCAATCAATAACTTCTCAAGTGATATAAATGGCACTTCATGATCCAGTATGCATGCTGGTTTTATTGCCACTTTCTTTTGTCACAAAATACAAAGATAACTACTTAATATCCGGTATTCATGCAAAATGGAGTCAGTCTTTTTGACAGTGGTCACATGAGCAGCATTTACTATCATAGGTGATGACATGTATAGCAATGTGACCACACAAACTCACTGCATTGAACCACATGCCCAGTCCAACATTAAAACTAAATACCCATAGCAATAAATTGTATTTCTAGGGTTAGTTGTAGCATTGCTGTAAAGAGCATATAGCTTTACTCCTGTGGCTGCCTGAATGCAGCAATTGTGGCATTGGCTCCGCTATTGACGCGCTGCTCTCCATCGGCGAGCTTTGGGGCTTCACGGTACACGCTCATGACCTGTGGGAGAAACAGAGAATGGGTGGTGTTTAAACGTCAGTACCTACAGACAAACAAATTTGGTAGCAATCATACCTGGCCAATACCAGCCTGATTCCTTATGCCAATCCCACCTTTGCATTGTGATCGATCAAGATAAAGTTGTCATCATCACACCTTGCCATCGCTTCTCCTATTGCAGTTAATACCTAGACCCCCAAGTTTTACGATGATCTTGCACCAACTTCGTTTACAATTTTCCTTTTGATTGCAAACCACTGGAGCCCACTTTCAATGCCTGTCTTTGTAACAAACCATTATTATCAATCTAATTAGGAGATTGTAAGCCAATTGAGATTTACATTGATATTGACAACATTGACAATTATATTGACATTTGCAAAAGTTATAGCAATAATTACATTGACAATTACATGATTTTGACCCTAATATTTGGAATAGAACTTCGATTATCTGCTTTCTGTGATGACCCAATCTTTTGAGTTGTAAGGTATGTCACATTTATAGACTTGGCTAATAAGTCTCAGCTATTGAATAATATTTTAACATAGACCCATATAGCAGATGTGCTCCACGTGGATGCAGTTGTTAATCACATATGCATGTCCCCTGAGATGTCCAAATTGTTTTGCCATTAGCAGTTGCGTGGAAACATATGTACTCTCCACATCACCGCAAAATGGTTGGAACTCTACTGCATATTGTTAATGGCAATGATATTTCTACAGTATTAAATATTAATAGTGGCAGTCTTATGATGTTAATAACTTGGACAGTGGCAACCTAAACACTCACGTTGCTGATCCAGCTGTTGTAGGCTGACACACGGGTGAACACGGTGGGCTTGCGAATCGTGTTGCAGCCCAGAGATGAGACGTAGCTGGAGATTCCCTGCACCACCCAGGCATTGTCCGACCGCTGGCAGTTCAGCGGGCCACCTCCATCACCCTGTGGTGCATAGCAGAGTACAGCAATGCCTCACGTTGACATTGGATCAAGAAGAATTGGATTACCGGAGTGGGTGGCTGTGATAGCAAATACCACCATGCCTCTCACCAACTTGTGTGTCTTTGCTAGCATGTTTTTGGCTTTGTAAGAGTGTGGGCATCGAGCTCCTGTTCTAAAGTTTTGAGGTCCTGTAGTGGCAGGTGTCTGTGTGAACAAACACTCGTCAAGTATGCTTCAGAGCCATGGTGCTAAGTCATGGAGAGATATCGCAGAATGCCAAGGCCTGATCCCTTCCGTCACCCAATTCTACTATACTGCCTTTGGGTTTTCCATGCACGTGGCACGATCTAAGAGGGCCAACGTGACGAGCGACAGTCAACGATTGCCATGTTGGCTACAGTATTCATTTATCTACCATGTTTTATTCATGTCATCGTCCCAATATCTGGATTTTATTTTTAGTAACTCCATTAATGTATGTGAATAAAGCCGTCAAAAGTGGAATCTACTATTGGTTATACAAAAAAACTGCAACAAATTTGTCAATAATGAGGTCTTCAAAAAAACGTATACAGGTTAGAGTTATTGACAAATGTGTGGAGCTTTTTGTCATTCATGCTTATGCACCACTACCAACACAGCATCGCCCAATAACTGGGTTAATAAATATTGATGCGGAGGGTGCATAGTAAATATTTGAAAAATGCAAGTAAAGCAAACAACCGTTATGGCCTTCCTCAAATTTTCCCATTGGAAATTTTACTTAAGGAATTGACGCGGGTTGGCTCGCGTTGCACTCCGTACGCACATAGCACGCAGAGCGGGTGCTGCCCCCCGCGCAGATCACGCTGCTCCTCAGGCTGCTCCCCCACCAGCTGGCCTGGCTGCACGTCGCGTAGTCCACCACGGGCAGGCTGGCCTGCTGCAGCTCGCTGGGGAAGGGGCCGCTGGCTGTTCACGCAAACAGACAACGTGGAGATGGAGAGCATTGGTGAAAGCATCGGATTTTGGTGGCGTTAACAGGCGCTCCCCTATCGAACCGTCCATCTCTCTGTACTAAAAAGGGAAAAGCCACATAGCAACACCGCCACTCGACTGGCAGACTACTGCCCACTGTTGACTCTATGCAGAGTTGTGTTAATTTTGTCAACCCCAGAAAGATTAAGGGCCGAGTCAAACTGGAGGGGCAATTCACACGTTGGACTTAAAGCGCTCCACATAACTCCCTCTGCTGTTGTATTTAATTGACAGTGAGTGAACGTTACTTACTGGAAAGGGATCCCCAGCCTGTAACGTAGCACGGGTAGTTGTTGGGCAGTATCTGGTTGGCGCTGGGCAGGCAGGCGAAGCGCACCTTGCTGGAAAGAGCCACGGGCGACGCAATCTTGAACATGGCGATGTCGTACCTGTGGGGGATTGAGACAGGGGCAGCCGTGATGTGACGCTCAACTCCGAACATACAACAAGCAATGGGGATTCAGCGCTGTGCACAGGAGAACTCCCACTAACCCGGGTGATGTGGGGGATATATATCGTGGGGTTATCCATGATTTGACACTGCACTTATTTGTGGGGACAGATTAATGAATAATGGGAAGAATAGGACCACGGGTAATAAGACGTATTGTGGACAATACAGCTTCTGCAGATAATGGAGCCATGGGTAATAGGGTCAAATGCATGAGGTCTACAGTATATTTTAGTTATTGTATTATCGTAAGCATTGTATGAGATGAAGAAATAGCATTGTGTCTCATCTGTCTGTATCTATTAAAACACAGAATGGGCATGGGCTGGAAGCAGTGCGTAAGCACAAATCAAGACATCTCATCGTCTTGTCATTAACACTGCCATATAACACTAAATGTTACTTCTGAAAAATAATTCACCATTGACTGACATTCCAATTATACTTTGTTTTGCTTTAAGGCAGTGTCAGTGATGAGCTTCGAGAATGGGAAAATAAATTTCTGTCTCTTTGCGTCTTTGTAGAATGTCTCTGTACATGTTTGTATAAATGGATATGTATCTGTCTATTTCAACTCGGAATGTCACAGTGTCACGGAAACAGGGCGCCCGTGTGCAGTCTCACCCATTGGCCGGGATGCTGGGATTCCAGTAGCTATGCCAGGCGATCAGGCTCAATGCAGGTGTTACTTGCCCCGACTCGGTTGTGGACACACTGTGCTTTCCCAGCACCACCCTGTAGCTGTAGCCACTCCTGCACATTGTGGTGGATGTGGGGAGATAACAGAGAGACGGGCGGTCGTAATCACTTACACCTGTAAACATTGCAGTGAGGAATTAATAAACAGTAATGATGCGAGTTACTGCATGGTATTTTCAATGCCACATTGCGGCATCGTGTAAAGGTAATTGATAGAGGCCGCCTCCTTGCTCCCAGGATACACTGCTCCAACTTTGGTGGCCACAATGTGGTACAGGAAAATACTGTACAACACCTGGGCCCCGGTGCAGTTGCACCGCCTGCACACATGATAGCGACGCCACTGGTGCCGTGACTCACGTGTAGCAGCTCGCAGAGGAAAGCACCCATTGACTATCAATGAGGGTTCCTCCACAGTAGTTGACCCATCTTCCTCCAGAGTACCTCTGCACGAGCGCCTGCAATGCACACCCAGAAAAGTGGTGGTAGTTACGGTTATTTGTCCAATTTCTATATCTTACAATACAGTACTAACTCAGCCCTTTCGTCAATACACTCACCGTTTGACCAGGCCTCACAATGCTAGTCATAGCTGGTTGTGAACGGATAGAATCCGGGACTGGTATGGATTTCACTCCCACTAATATTAGCAGTCGCTGGGAATGTAAACCATGTAGCATGGTTCGTCGTGCGGTGCATAAACCACTGCGCTACCACTCTCCCATTATAGTCACATATTCAATGACATTGAGAATAGTGGAAGATCTGAACATTTCATGTTGCACATATGCAGCCGTTGTGTCAGTGCACTGCTGAATGATGTCCTCCACGTGGCATGTACAACAATGGATACTGCTGCACTGTGATCGACTGGCAATGCAGCGTGTGGCTGTGATGGCTGCTATTCAGCCTCTGCCGTTACCTGCCAAGGCCAGGAGTTGGCGCGAGCCTCCACGCCGTTCACCACGCGGATCTGGGAATACGCTGCGATCCCACAACTCTGAGCAGACACCTCAGCTGTGAGAAACAAAAGGAGACGCGAAACAAAAACAAATATCCCCCGTATAGCTTTAACGAACTGTTAGGGCAAGTGCAGTTAATGAGCACCTATGAAGGCCGGTTGCGGCACACGAAAGGGTGGGTAGATAGTAACATGCCCAGCCGCATTTGTTTTTCGAGTGGGGATGTTCACACATCGTAGCAGGTACTCATTTGAAGTTGAGTCGACCTAGGCGAGGCCCAAGACCGACTCAGATAATCGTCACTGGTGTTGGTCGTGAGCGGTCGTTGAACTCGGGTGGCCGGGTTCGTAGCACAGGACGCTAACCGCTAAACTACCTCTCCCATGGGAATACATACCATAGTACACACACAATGATAGTGATGTGTTTTTTGCGTTGTACCTTATGCATGTTGTGTCATGTTTTAATCCATGTACTAGCAAACTCTTCTATAACTAAGTCCAGTTCCTGAAGAAGCTAGAGTGATCACTCCACTAAAACAAATGTGTGCATGGCAATCACTCACCTCCAACCAGCAGAGCAGCGCAGACGAGAAAGGCGAGCATGGCTGATCGAAGAACTGGAGTTTATTGAAGACTTGGAGCTTCTTGTGCACGAGTCTTTCCTTTCCACTACCGTGTCTCACTGCTGGGCCGTCTTGGTTTTTATACAGAATCTGCTGTCCACATGAACCCTCAGATTGCAATCAGAATACTTCCCTATCTGAAAAACTGCCCACATCGAGCTGGCATGCAAATTACAAATTCAGATTTTTGTTTCTCTTGGCCAGCAGGAAATGATACAGTGTTAATCCTGCTGATGATACCAAACCAACTTTAAAGACAGATTTTTGTATCGGTTAGGTTATAATGGAATACGTGAAGCTGACCGATGGTTGACAGATCTGGTCACTCCCAAAAATGAGCTCCTCAGGCAGGCAAGGCTGCGTTGGCTGGATTATGGAGCCCACATGCCCATCAACTGCATGCCCAAGCAGCTTCTGCTTGGCCGGATAGAGGAGGCTAAAAGAGCACGGCACGGGTAGAAACATTATGGACTAATACTGTATAGGAGGATGTGGAGCTGATCAGACGAGCCGATGACTGTAGAGGAGGCTCGGGAAGGACATAACTAGAGAGTTGGAGGCAGTCGCCCTCCAAAAACAATGGAGGTCAGAGGAGCGTTGCCCAAAACAACGAGTGGAGCGCCAGGTGGACAGTGATGCGGCATTGTGAGCATTTGTATTTTGCTGCTCTGCGTGTTGAGTGTGTTACATTATTATACAAAAACATACACACACAAAACATACACGGTAAATAAATCGTTCTCATAGTCGATGCATTCACACCTTCCAACCGATGTAACACTCTGCGGCCATTACTTTTCAACACGGACATGATAATATTAGCAGCATCAAACCGCATAATGTATTGTCGAAACATCACCCCCGTGTTTTGTAGAACAGACCTAAGTTTTTAAACCGTGTGTAAACGAAACACGCATTCGACTAACACGCGTTGGGCAAGGTTTTCCTCTATTTAGTATTTTTTCCCGGGCTTGCTAAGCTACGTGTTGGAAAAGTTCCATATGTATACCAGAAGTGGTATCATTCTTGAAAAACTACCATCAATCTTTAGAAATTCACAGTCGCTATCAGATCGTGGCAAAACTCAAAATCCTGGTTGATGGCTGACTGAACTCATTTTCTCCTATCTGGTTGATAAAATGAGTACCACTAGACTGGTAGATTCATAATGTGACTGGTGAGGGGGATTTACAGGACCGTGTGGAGAAGCGTTCACCAATTGAGGTCAACATTGCCAGACACTTGTTTAAGCAGGGAGGCACTTCGGCTTGGCATCCAGAGGTCGGCGACCCAGGGATAGACCTAAAACCTAATGCCAGATGGTGGTGATGATGATAATAAAAATGTTAAATTGGAATTTGACGGTTATGTGTAGAGTCAGCTGTGTGACATTTTTGTGATCTAGCAGAAGGTAGCAAGCAATTTTGAGCTGCGGTGGCATTAACGGGATTGACCGTAATCATCTCTTGCGTGGCGTAGTCATAAATGGCCAAATTATAGGGAGACAAAAGTGGCCAGGTGTGTACGCGTTTCTATCCATACCCCACTCTCGTGTGCCGTCCTGGCCTCAGCAAGTACTCAATGACAGTACTTTTCAAAGTCTCTCCGGAAATATTACAAGGGAGTTACTTTGTCTATACATAGGAATGTTTGATATGAACCAGCTAATTTCTGCACTCGAGCAGGTATTGATGTGATAGAGTTTTATAAAAGTCATCACCCATCATGACTTTCAAAAATGTTTCCCCATTGTCCTCAGGCAAACTTGGTTCATTTGAGGCCACATCCTCTAACCCCTCACTGGAACTCATAATAACCTCTTTGTCCTAGTCTACAATATTCAATTTCCTTTGTTAACATTTGCTTCCTTGACTCTAACCTATTTCACACAACGGTAGTAGTCTGACCAGTTTAATGATCAGCATCAGAATCTCTATTTATCCTGGAGAAATCCGATTATCTATGAAGCTCTTTTTCATAAATTTGCAGTATATGTGGGTCAGAAAGTTACAACAACAAACAATACAAACAAAGATAGGAGTGCAAATCATAAGAAAATTGTATACGTAAAATACATAACGTTTTACGTCAAAGTTGCACAAGTACACTAGTTCCCAAACTTGGACAAGGCAGCAAAACAAGAGCTTAATCAGTCCCAGAACACACCAAAACAACAGATGGTCCCTCAATAAAATTGCCCATTAAATTGAACTATTGATACATGTGTAAGCATGAAAGTTACAAATCACGTTTTTAATCGCAAACGATGGTTGTATAATGAGATACATGAAGGATCCATGGGTGGCATTGTAGAAAGAAAGTCGCTGGCCTACTGCATCCATCCTAATTAGGAAGTGTTATCCCCTTTTAAGTGTGAGGTTTTTTTCCGAGTACTCCAGCCTCCTCCTATTTGCAAACATTCTCTAAAAGAAATTAGCCAAACAACCCAAGCAGCATCCAACTGAAAGAGCGTTGAGGCTCACGAATGCTATTCTGGCTAAATTATTTATTACAACGTTGATTTACTGTTAAATATCATACATCGCAAGTGTATTTTTGTATATTTTGTGTTGAAATGGAAAGTTATTGTATTGCCTATTAGTTGAATCGCAGATCGCAAGTTCAAATATTGGTCATACCCCCCCCCCACCCCAATGATTACAAACTGATTGCACACCAAATGCGATGTTTAAAAAACAATACAAACTAGATACAATTTTGATTGAGTCTTTGCTCTTGTTTGGTCTCTTCATCTGCGATATTATCAATTTCTCTGAAAATAAAATATTAAATGTCCTATGTTGCCGAATTGTGAGTGCATTGATAATATATCTAGGTAAGATGTTCAACTTTGATGCAAAACATCAAATTCCCGTTCAGTTATTCTCAATTTCATCTGCCGTTCTTGTAATAACAAAATGTATACCAATAGAACTTACATAATGACAGATTGTAATACAATTGATCAATAATTCTGGCAAATACAGAGGTTACAAAATGTGTTACCGCTTAAAAGATACCAACAATGTTTCACGTTCACATTTTCTACCAACTGACACCCAGTGCAAAGGACTGAGATGATCCATGGTTTACAACTTCTGCAGCATCTTGAAAACATTGTAGCCACTCCCATTGTTATTGTATGTGTTTTAAAGACCAGGAGTAGGCTCAGCCCATCATCCTTTCTGGGTTTATTAAATTTGCAACACTTTGTGTACAGTCATCAGTTGATGTACTCAGGAGAGTCTGGCTCTCCACGGCATCAATCCGGGATCGGGACTGCCAAAGAAGAGCACTGCCCAACTGTTCATAACTTGATTTAGATTTTTATTTTTATTTTTTTCCCTGCATACATTTCTGCAGGCCGCTATTGCACATTTATTATGAATGTAGTCTGTTCGAGATTCTTGTTAAATGTCACATGGTGTTTGGTGCCTTGTTTTAATATGTGAAGAGCTGACCGTTTCTCCACTTCCTACCCCCTTTACATCTTCCGGCATCTGGCCAAGCGAAAATACGTCATCCAAGTGAATGCATGCAAATTACTTGGAAAACATAGATGGGACATTATAAACAAGATAGGGCAGCCTACAACCTGAGCGTGTGCAACACAAGCAGAGCAGATAGTGGTATCTGTAGTGAAGTCGCAAATCAGGTGACCCAGAAACAGTGGTTCCGTCTGTGCAGATTTGCATGTGTGTGGAAATGTCCCTTTTTGAAATGTTTAGTACTAAGCATTGGCATGGAAACCCAAGACATTTTAGAGGTAAGGACATGTGTGGTTTAATTTATGGCTACATTGGAAAAAATTACATTTGGTGGAATTAATATGTAATTACAGCCCTTCGTCAATCGAGTGAAGGCTTCCCTGTGAAGTATCAGTCGTAGTGAGATTATATTCGCTACTGTTAGTCAGTGCACTTTGGAGAAGCTGAGGGGTCCAAGACTGGTTCACACTGCACTCTCCGCTGATGTTAGCAGTGGCTGAGAATCAATCTCAGTTCCACTGGGTCCATCGTGCAATGCGCTAACCACTGCTAACATTCTAACTGTGAGCGCGGCCCTCTGTCCACCGTGCTTTTATCGAATTGAAACGCACACAATAGCATTGTTTAGTGAGTGACGCATTACACTGGTACTCAGATCATAGGTGCAAATTAGAAAAACAGTGATCTTTTGCTTTCTGTTCTCTGGAGATGTAAGCATATGTAAAGCTAGCAGTAACATTGTGGAACTTTTGTGGTAAACCTGTGGAGCTTTGCAGTACTGTATAAGAAGGATGTACACATTCTAGATCCAGATCTTTGTCGTTCTGATGCTGGAGCGCCAGATATATGTCAAGCTGTTGAATATATGTCAAGTGAGGCCACCTTAAAGTAATTGTTCTGTCCATTATGTGCACTCTCTGGCACTAAATGACAGAATGCACAGGGGTGGAATTGATAGCCTAGTTGGGAGACTTGGCCACATAACCAGGGAGAGGCAGGGCCAGTTATTTCATGAGATGCAGTCTCCATGCTGAGCTCCGTATTGTTATGTTAATCCATCAGATTTGCAGCCCTTGAGAAACCATTCTTGTGAGTAAGCAATATTGTTTTTGGTGTAGACTACACGAGTGTATTGTTAATGCAACTTAATGAGTTTAAAGAAGTAGTGAACACTGCATGTATTCAATGTGCTCCGATATGAGACCTATTCAGGTGTAAGCCCAACCAATTCATTTGGTTTCAGACTGAGAGATACTGTGAGTCACTCTTGAAAATAGGCGCCCTGAATAATTCTTGAAGATACATCCAACGCTGCCTGGGGCAAGGATGATGAAGTGTACCGTGTGGTAAGCCTGTGTTGCCATGCTACGTCGGTGATCTTTCAGTCTGTACTGTTTATGTAACGCAGGGATGAAGTATGGCTAGCCTCTACTTAGGCATTTACCACTACTTGATGTCGCAGCATAGTGGCTGTGCATGTAACGTGGGAGTTCAATGTTCAATTAGCTAACGACTTTATGTTTCGATGTAACAGTTTTACCCTGAGATAGGTCCGTCTCCACCCCGTTGGGAAGACGGCCACGCTCATTAAAAGTATCAAGTTCAAAAGACCAGCCAGAGTTCTGACTATGCTTATGAGCCAGGGTCTAAAGTAATCCCCTGCCAACCGCGATGGCTAGGTTCCTTAAAGCCCTCGCGGTTGGTAAAGTACAGGGGCCTGTGGGAAATAGGA